GGTTTAGTATAACTAAAGTTCTCTCTTCATTTAGACCAAACAGACTGGCAAGTCTATGAACAAACAGGTCATTTTCTATAGAATGGCTATAATATATGCGCTTTCTATTGCCATATTTGAAACCCCTTCATAGTTTATGTAAGCTACAATCTTTTGCACACTGATTATACAAGTATATCCTATGACCATGGGCTAGTGCTAGTGGTTAGTGAAAATAATTATAATTAATAACAACATGGCAAAAGCCTTCAGCTTGCTTTGTTTGGCATATATTGCAAAGTTTCTTTTTCTCAGCCCTTCACATCAGAAGGAACTATTTGCTCCCCTTGTTTTTCAGCACTGGATATGAGGCAGAAGGACAAAAGCAATTTGCCAATGGTCAAACAGAATATCAGGAAAAGTACTGGGAATAAAACCTGAGGCTTACTAATAATGAGGCACCTGGTTTCATTGCCCGACATTCTCAAGCACTGTACTTTGACTTGTCTCCTACTGGATGCACTACTATTTCTACTTCATTCTCTATAACTGCTCATTAGAGTGGAGCTAACTAGAAGCAGCCCCAAACTGTGGCAGATATGGAGCTATCTTAAAACAGAAATTTTAATTAAACCAAGCTCAGCTGCAATTCAAACATATAGAAGAACGAGTCAAGCTCTATGATACATTTAACCATTCCTCTCTTATCTTGTATTACCCTTTTTTTTTAATTTTTTTTTCAAAGTTTATTTATTTTTGGGACAGAGAGAGACAGAGCATGAACGGGGGAGGGGCAGAGAGAGAGGGAGACACAGAATCAGAAACAGGCTCCAGGCTCTGAGCCATCAGCCCAGAGCCTGACGCGGGGCTCGAACTCACAGACGGTGAGATCGTGACCTGGCTGAAGTCGGACGCTTAACCGACTGCGCCACCCAGGCGCCCCTCTTGTATTATTCTTTAAAACCTACTTTTCACATTTCTCTTGAAAAGTTATATTAGCACAGGATCAACTTTGTTGCTGTTTATAGTAAGACAGTAAAGCTACATGGCCAAATGCGAAGTGTTTTCATAGAAACTTAGCTGACCATACCTCAATCTAAAATTTACATTCACAAAGTGTATTATTAAATAGTTCTAAATAGGGCCACATGCAATGAGGTATTCATGTTTACGTGACATTTACTGATTAAAAATAGACATCCTGTCAAAAATTCAACCACAGACACTTGTCATAGAGATAGTTCTAGCTATGCTGCCAAATCACTAAATATATAAATCCTCCTTCTATTTAGAAGAATTTTGATGGAAAAAGTCATTTATGAAGATCTGTATCAGCAACTAGATATACTCAAAATGCATGGTGTAGGAAAGTGGGGAGTATTTAGTTAAATTATGACTTTTCAAGCTGTCTTTATATTGGGCTACTAAATTGATACTTTTTACTGGATTGTAAAATTAAGTTATATTGTGGAGGGAAATATTCCTCCAACTGGTTTTACAGATGTTCTAATTGAATATCTTTTTGGAGGAGGATAACATAAGAAACTAAATTGATCATTTCAATACATTAAAATAATCTGTGTAGATGGTCTGAATGTTAAGATAACATAGCATTAAACACTTATTGGCATCACAATAGTTCAAAATCTTGGGTGTTATAATTAGTTCTGTCTCTGGCATTATTATGCACATTCTTAATACATAGATCTAGAGGCACTGGTAGGCAAAGAGATCTCAGTTTTGCATTCCTACTGCTTTTTTAATCTAGATGCTAATCAGTACAATAAGCCATGCCAACTCAGAGTTAGAAATCAGACCTATTCTAAGATCACGACATTGTGATTTTCTAGCAAAATGTTTTTACCTGCTTTGACTAATCCTATTTTAAATACTCTAACTTTGAATAGCTCACAGGACAGTACTTGTGACTCTTACCTCGATATAACCGATTTCATTCTTAATTTAATTTTGTGACAGCTCAGATCTTAAAAGCAATCTATTGTTCCCTTGTCAGACTTAGAAACGACTGATACATCCAAGTGCATACTTCCTGGTTCATACCAAATTGATGGCTGGGTCTACAGGAAATCAATACTGGATGATTGAGCCTGTTCTATAAATTTAGAAAAATTTAGGAAAAAATAAAGAAAATTATCCAATTTGATGATTTAGGGCTAGAATAGTCAAAAACTAGTTTTGTGAAATGGGTTTCCTAAGATGTTTTGTAGATATATCATGAATGAGAGCAGAATATTATCACATTTATTTCACATTATTTGAATCAACATAGCATTCAGCATTCAGCTTTTTAAAGACTTTATTTTTTAGAGAAGTTTTAGGTTTACAACAAAACTTGAGTAAAGTACAGAGATTTATCATATACCCCCTACCCTTACACATGCATCACTCACCAAAATAGTACATTTTTACTAATCACAACACATCCTAATCACCTGATGCCATAGCTTAACTTAGGGTTCACTCTTGGTGTTGTACATTCTATGGGTTTGGACAAAAACATAATGGCATATATCCATCATTATAATATAATATGGAGTGTTTTTACTGCGCTAAGTATCCTCTATGTTCTGCCCCTTCATCCCCCATTCCCAATGCCTGGCAACCACTGCTATTTTTATTACCTTCATAGTTTTGCCTTTTCTAGAATGTTATATTCTTGGAATCATACAATACATAAGCTTTTCAGATTGGCTTTTTTCATGTAGTAATATGCAGTTTAAGGTTCCTCCATGTCTTTTTATGGCTTGACAGCCCATTTTCGTTTAGCACTGAATAATATTCATTGTCTCAATATACCATAGTTTATTTATCCATTCATCCACTGAAGGATATCTTGGTTGCTTCCAAGCTTTGTCAAACCTTTATGTTCAGGTTTCTGTGTGAACATGTTTTCAACTGCTTTGAGGAAATACCAAAGAGTGTAATTGTTGGATCTTATGATAAGACTATGTTTAGTTTTGTAAGAAACCACCAAACTGTCTTCCAAATTGGCTGTATGATTTTGCATTCCCACCAGCAATGTAGGAGAGTTCCTGTTGCTCCACATCCTTGTCAGTATTTGGTGTTGTGAACCTTCTGGATTTTGGCCATTCTAATAGGTGTGTAGTGGTATGTCATTTTTGTTTTAATTTGCATTTCCCTGATGGCATATGATGTGGAACAGCTTTTCATGTGTTTGTCATCTGTAGATCTCTTTGGTGACATGTCTGTTAAAGTCTTTGGATCATTTTTTAATCAAGTTGTTTTTTTTTAATTAAGTTTTAAAATGGTTTTTCTGTATATTTTGGAAAACAGTCCTTTGTTACATGTGTCTTGCAAATATTTACTCCTAGTCTGTGGTTTGTCTTCTCATTTTTTTGTCATTGTCTATTTGTCATTGCCTGAACAGAAGTTTTGAATTTAAATGAAGTCCAGCTATTATCTTTTTTCATGATTTATGTCTTTGATGTTGTATCTAAAAAGACATCACCATACCCAAGGTCATCTAGGTTTTCCCTATGTTATCTTCTCAGAGTTTCATAGTTTTGTGTTTTACATTTCGGTTTATGATTCATTTTGAGTTAATCTCTGTAAAGGGTATAAAGTCTGAATGTAGATTCATTTTTTTTTACATGTGCATGTCCAGTTGTTTCAGCACCATTTGCTGAAGAGACTCTTTGCTCTGTTGTAACATTCACATTTTTTAGTAATTTAGACTTTGCTTTAGTGATGCCAGTAGAAATTGGTACTCTATTCTGTCACTTCACATAATAGCTGCATTTCCATTTTCTTTTTATTACAAATCAATAATGCAATTAACATAACAAGATCCCAAGAGCTATTTACGTAATTATTGCTTTTATAAAGAAAAGAACCACTACATAAGCTGTAAAGCAGCTTAAAACAAAATCATAAAACAAGTTCCAGGAAACCATTCTTCAGAAAAACAACATAGTATATCTTTTACACAACCTGTTTTCTTTAAGATTTTGTAATAACTGAAGATAGACTAGCACCAACCAAATCAAGGAACTCACTCTATTTACTGAAAGAATCAACACAATCCAGTTTGGGTTCCCAAAGGAAAATATGCTGTCTTTCAGTTATGTTGATACTATTTTAGACCAATAATTCCTTTATTTTGTTTAACTATGGAAAACAACTTTAGTACAAGAAAAAGAAACTTAGCAGTCTGACCATGCATATACACCACTTCCTATATTAATCAAATGAGAGTTGTAAACAACTTAATGTGATGTGTATTTAATGACATTTCATGAATTGTTTGCAGGATAAGTAGGCATAAATTATAAGTAGCATACCTCTCTTACTCTTGTTCCCTCTCCCTCTCTCTCTCTCTCTCTCTCTCACACACACATACACACACACACACACACACACACACACACACACACATTTTTTGTCTCACTTAAAACACCATTTGAATTGTTTTATAGACTGAATTAAAGACAGTGAGGGGCAGTGACAGACATGCATATTAAGACAGATCACATAGTCAGATAACAGTGGGAGATGCAAGCATCAGCTTTCAGAGCAAAGTACATTTAGGTGGATAATTAGTGTTGAAAGGTCGTGGTGCAAAAGTAGACCATGAGATATGGCATCCAGAAGTGGGGCTCCGGGATATGAGTCTATAACAAAATCCATAATTAATACATGATAACAACTGGAAGGGGATAAGGCAACAAGTTACTTTCAAATCTGGAGAGGGGTATGGTCTTAGGTCAGAAAGGAACTCTGCCAAAATTAAAGGGCTTCCAGTTCAGGTAATACTGGAATCACTACTTGAAAAATAATACTTGAAGACTCATCAAAACTTCATATTAAAAAGAAACCAGAAGGGCAGGCAGGCCTGTGGGCTTTTCCCACCCACTCTCCCACCTCCAGAAGGAAAGTACATGTTCTCTGTTGCATGTGCTTATATCACTGACAGAACAACTTTCCTTTGATGATTTTCAAGAAAGCTGTACTATGAAATGGCAAAGTCTCCAGGAGGCAGAATGCCATTGCCTCTGGGGAAATGGGTCCTTTTTTCCAGTGTAGTGGTCAGTGGGAGCTGTGCCCTTACATATTACCTTATACAAAAAGCTTTTTCCAGGGCTTCCTATTACGAGCTGGTATTGGAGCCGCTGCACAGCCACCCTGAGTCCCTGGAAGCTCTGTGCACTCCTCTCAACATCCACTATCTACACCTCACTGACAAGTACAACTTTGTGGATATTGCCAGTACCCAGTTGAAGATTCCTGTCTCTGGATTCAAGTCAGAGGGCCATCTCTATGTCAGCTCATCCAGAGATGCCCCTTTTCAGAGATGGCACCCTCAGGATGTCTTCTTAAATCTTAAGGATGGTTAGCAGATTCCTGTGTTCAAGTTCAGTACAGACAGTGGTGATGATATAGAAACAGAGTAAAGGTGATCAAAAAGACTCAGCATTCTCCAAGCATGGCCTTTCCTCATCACAATGTACCCTCCATGGCTGTAAGCCAGTTTTTCAGCCAGAGGGGATGATTATATGTGCTGGCATATGGTAATTTTGGTATAATTCTAATTTGGCCACACTATTGTGGGGTTTTTATTTAATCAGAAAGTTTTACTATGAATTTATAAGTATTTATTTGAGAACTCACTATGTAAAAGCAGAACACAGAATAAAAAGAATCGCTATTTAAAATTTTTAAAAGGAGAAGAAGAAGAAGAAGACAATGAAGAAGAAGAAGAAGAAGCAGCAGCAGCAGCAGCCACCACCTCCAGAGTGAATCTTCTAAATGAAAATCAGGGCATTTCTTGCTTAACATTTCCAGTGGTTCTCCACCACATTTAGAAAAGCTTTAGCATAGCTTATAAGACTTACCTTGACTTGCACCAACCCTACCCCATGTTTTTGATATTCCTTGAAATATGCCAAACTCACTCTCATCTCTGGGCTTTTGTACTTTCTGTGTTCTTAGCCTCCAATCTTGGCTCATTCCCTTAATGTTCCATTAAGGATTCTACTCAAATGTCATCTTCTCAGAGATGTTCTGAGAATCTTTTTTATTTGTATTTATTTATTTATTTATTTATTTATTTATTTATTTATTTTAAAGACAGAGAGGGAAAGAGGTAGAGGCAGAAGGAGAGAGAGATCCTCTTAAGCAGGCTCCACGCTCAGCACAGAGCACGACCCTGGGATCATGACCCAAGCCAAAAATCAAGAGTTGGATGCTCATCCAAGTGAGCCACCCAGACACCCCTGAAAATCATATTTAAAACAGCAACCTACCACTCTAGAACCCCTTACCACTTTTTATTTTTCTTTATGTGTGATGTTGTTTTTTTTCAATATATGAAATTTATTGTCAAATTGGTTTCCATACAACACCCAGTGCTCATCCCAAAAGGTGCCCTCCTCAATACCCATCACCCACCCCGCCCTCCCTCTCACCCCCCATCAACCTTCAGTTTGTTCTCAGTTTTTAAGAGTCTCTTATGCTTTGTCTCTCTCCCACTGTAACCTCTTGATATGTGACGTTGTTGAATATATTTATTTGTTTACTTAGTACCTTCTCCATTAGAATATCAGTTCCATGAAGGTAGAACTTTCTGTTGTGTCACTCTTGTAACTAGCATGAGAGGTAGAATTACTGCTATAAAGATAATTAAACATAAACTTCAGGAACTCTCATTTGCATAGCCTCATTTAAATGGCCTGCATGTAATTCTGTATGTATAATTTTTAGTCTTCAAAGTGAGTTATCAAAATCATGTAAGCTTTAGACTCCATTAAACCTCTGCTTAGCATCTAGTGCCTGACATTTCATAAGCCCTCAATAAATATTTTTGAATGAGTGAATTTTAAAAATGAATGAATACCTTAAATATTTTAGGATAAAAAGATTTGTTAGCTCTCTCCCTGATAGCAATCTTTGATAAGTGTTGTTCTTGACTGAAAGGTGAAAGATGTTGGGTGTCCATTGAGGATAATGGAACAAGGCTGTTCTGAAGGACATGGAAGAAATTTTAGAAAAGGATGTTGTGGGCTCTTAAAGTAAACTTTGTTTACTTTATTTTTCCTAGTGTTGGGATACTAAATTAGGCCAAAAGTACACATTATGATTTAATGTCTTAATAAATTGGGTTCCTATTATAATTCCATTCTTTGTGACACAGCCTTTTTTTTTCTCATATTTCCTAAGATATGAGCTATCTTTTCTAGTATATCCAGGGAGTATCCACAATTTAAGGAAATCATTGAAGCATGACTACTTCCTCATTACTGCACTGGGTTATTTCTTCCTTTTTCTTACACTGTTTTTATAGTTCTCAAAGCTTTTAAGAAAGTTTATGGATTCAACCAGGATTGTGCAATACAGTGGCATTTGCCCAGTGGAAAAACAGATGCACATTATATGTATGTCTTATAAATACAGTTAAATATATATATATATTTAAATATATGTACACACATATATTATATATAATAAATGTGACATATTATATATAATCAATGTGGGAGAAAGAGATTTAGCAAGCAAACCTTAGGATTTATTTTCACTTGTTAATTGTAGTTCCCCCATAGGATCATCCAGCTCTTCCTGTCATTAATAAGGAATTCATAAAAATGAGCCATTAATAGAAGAGATTAGTTAAATAATACATTACACCTTAAATAATGGTCAAAACTAGTTACTATGAAAACCATCTATGAATTGATCACTCTCAATTTATAGAAGCCCATCTGGTTTGGTTTTTAATCTACTCAAATTGTTTTTTGGCCAGTAGCACTGCCTGAGGCAAATTTATATCAACTTGACAAAAAGCAATACAAAGTCTTGCTTCAGAGATTCTCATTGCTTAAAGCTACAATACTTCTTTAAAAGCTCCAAGGTGTTATAATTAAAAATGTATCAATTGCTTAACTTGTCAACCAAAGGCAGTTATTGTAAAGCATTATTTCCCCTCAAACAGATAGACTGTCATTGCTCATGTGTGATTGCATTTAAAGAAAAAAATATAAGTAAAGTGTAAATTTAACTTCTGGGAAGTAAGCCTCATCAAAGCATTTCCAAAACCTTCTGGAATCTGTTCCCTTTCTGGGAAGCTGTACATACTAACCTCCCATTCGCATTTATAAACATGTGCAAACACAATTAACATGCAGATTTTTGATGGTGACTTGAGAGGAGGGGCGGAAAAAACTTTCTCCAGAAATGTTAATTTGACTTTAGTAACAGAATGTCATTTGAAATTGTAGTTAAAGATATCTCTTTCTAGTGATTTCTTTTTTATTTTACCCTTCCCTTGCCCCCTCTTTTTCCCCAAGAAATGAAGAATGCAATTAACAGCATAATGATTAAAGAAATAATTAGGCACTGCAGGCTCACATCACAATAATTTAGGACAATTTCATGCTTTTACTGCCATATCAAATTAACAAATTTTGTCTGTTACAAAAAAGTTCATGAAATAAAATTACCCTATCTTCCCCTGATTCCACTGCCAATAAAAAAATAAAACAGACGTGGATGGCAAAGTGAACTTTTTTTAATCTTGTATGAAAAGGAATAAAATCACTTCTTCATAAATTAAAATTTAAGAATCAGTTGTGCTGTGTTGTGTTTGTACAAACAAGTTGCTTTTCATGGAAAGATTTTATTTTGATTAAATAACAGACTCAACTCACTGCAAATAATTGTGTTGTTAATCTCACTACACTACTTTGAACTGAAAGTGAGGAAAAACTGGTCAATGTTATTCAATTGCCTTGGAGGAACACAGAGCTCTTCTGACAGAGGTGCATAATGGATGAAGCACAAAATGAGATAATTGGGAGATGTTTATCCTAGAGGGTGCTAAGTTCATAATTACAATTAAAAAGTTCTCATATCCTAATATTATTCTCTGTAAAGACACACACTCTGTCTTCATTTGACTGCATCAATATATATTTTTCCAAATGAATAAAGTTCATCTGTGACCTGGCTTGAGGTTGGATATGTAACAGAAGAATGTAAATAATGCCAACTACTCATATTTTTATCTTACTGTGAGTGCTATTGCATGGCCGTTCAGAGGTAGCTTCTTAACCAGAGAAGTAATAACCTTCTTAAATATAAGACACCGAGGTGCTCTGGAAAATATAAATATTTGAATGTTTTGTTCCAAAAAATTTAAAAATGCCTTGTTTCAGGATTATGTATTATAAATTTCAAAATCACCAAGTGAATGTTTATCTATTAAGATATTAGAAAATTCATGGACAGATAAAGAATTTTTCAGAGCTGCTTTATTCAAGTAGGGATAGTTCAACAACTTGTTTCTATCAAGAAAATTACAAAATGTTGTTGACAGCTCTTTGTGACCTGTCATATAGTCAAGGTATAAACCTTTAACACATAACAATAATAGAGTTATTAATGTAATGCATTATGATATTTCTTCTCCATCTATAAAACACTTTTGTTGGTTTACAACCTTGAAATTTCCCTGGGTGAAATTCAAAACTGGCCCCATATGTGGAGGGCAAGGAGAGACTGAAGAAAGAGGAAGACCACCCCAAATTGGTAGGTGGCAGTTTTAATAGACAAGGGAACTTAGATACTAGGCTTGTCTTGGGTAGATGCAAGACAAATAGATCTCCACACCTACCCACCCAAATCTTAAAGAGTTTAAATAAAGGCCTTAGTGGGGGTCAGTCACATATATAGTCCAGATGGTCTCAACAACACTTTACTCTTTTAAGGCTGCATGTTTGAAGGGGTTCTTACTGTGGGAATGGTGAGGTGAATGTACATTCCAAGGACAGGGAAAAGGGTAAGGAGCTTCCAGTTGGGTCTAGCTCACAGGCCAACCTGCAGTCACAACCTTTCAGTGACTTCCTCTAATACCTTTCTTCTTTACAACAATCTTCTGAAGTAAGTACGGCTGCTTTCATCACTCCATTGCCATTGTATGGTTGAGAATGTTGGGGTTTAGTCGGTAAGTAGCAAAAAGAGAATTTCAATTCAGGTCTTCTGACTCCAGGTCTCATGCTTACTTTCCTATGCAACATGAAGACATAATAATTTGACAATCAGAAAGAATGAAATCTTGCCATTTGCAACTACATGGATGGAACTAGAGGGTATTATGCTAAGTGAAATTAGAGAAAGACAAATATATGACTTCACTCATATGAGGACTTTAAGACACAGAACAGATGAACACAATGGAAGGGAAGCAAAAATGATATAAAAACAGGGAGGGGGACAAAACATAAGGGACCCTTAAAAATGGAGAACAGAGGGTTACTGAAAGGGTTGTGGGAGGGGGGATGGGCTAAATGGGTGAGGGGCATTAAGGAATCTACTCCTGAAATCGTTGTTTCACTATATG